ATTTTTAACATTTCTAGTAGAGTGTTACCTAAAATATTATTTTTTTACCGAAAATATTAATTCCGCTACCTAAAATGAATATTTCATATAGAAAAAAATAACATTTTAGGTAGCGTTCTATCGAAAATATTAAAAAAATATTAACATTTCTGATAGCATTTTTTCTTAACTTTATATTAGGCTGTCTTTCCTTAGACATCCCAAGTCTTGTAACAATCACAAATATCATATGGTTACGTGTTTATATTTATTTATTTATCTAAATAAATGAATTATTTACGTGAAATTTTTAAAATTAAAGAATTAAATCAATAACTCATTACAATTTTTTCAAGGACAATGGATAAATACGATAATGTCAGTAGCGAGTCGAGTCTTTTCCGATGGCTTTGAAAGTCCAAGGCATATTATGCTTAGCTGTGCTGCAATTAACATTGTAATGGTGGTGGGCCGCTACATACATAAGCGACGGCCACCACTGCCTGCGCATCCCTATGGGACCTTCGTTGTTTGGGTTACCCCAAAACAACTTCTTTTGTTTCTTTCAGAAAAAAATTAAATAATAAAATCTAATTAATTATTTCAAATCAAATGTTATAAAAAATTATTCTGGAATAATTCTTTTATATCGTCGATATTGAAATATTATCAGTTTATTTATTTTATTTCTTAATTTTACATTATTTAAAAACTCAAAATTTAGTTTCTTAAATTAATCTAAATATGATAAAATAATATTATTTTGCTTTGTTGAAATATTGACATCAATTATTTTATAATTTTCTACTATATCATAATAACATTAAAAAACATGAAAATAAAAGCTGGTATAACCATTTTAATAATGAGAAATTAGTTTTACATAGAAAAGAAGTTAGTTTTAGGATAGAGAATATACTTTGTAATATTATCCACCAAATAATTATAAAGAGATTAGCACTAATAAAAGAAGGAAAAGCGATGTCAACATCTTGACACGTGATCCTGATTTGAGTTGGAAGCATTATCGCAAATTGCTGGGGTCGCTTTCCTCTTCTCCTTATGTTTAGCAAATTTGTAGTAATGGTTATCGAAAATGAGTTAGTTTAGTACGATAATATATTAGATTTTTAAGTAAATTTAAAATTTTAAAATTTTGAAATTTAGGAATGAAATAGATTAGATTGAAAGGATCGCTTTCATAGTAAATATTTACAAAATTCAATCCGAAAAAATAAAAGAAAATTAATTATGTTAGTAACAAAATACACTAAAAATCACAAAAGATATACAATAAATTTTAAACGTATCACAATGTAAAATTAAATAAAAAAAATTCCTAAATACATATTTATATTTATGTGACATTGAAAATCCTAAAATAATATTGTACCTAAAAGTTCAAGAGCATCTACATCCATCTCATATCTCTATTTTTTCTTTTGATTTATTTATTCACCAAATGAAATATACTATAAGCTTTTTAGATTAAATCAAATGAAATTCGAATAATGTTCTGTAATAGATTTCTATTTCTAGATATTTTTCATATTTTACAGCTGTATAAAAATAAAGGGCACATTGGTAGTCACTAAACTTTTAAGGTATTTTCATTTTGATCATAAAACTTTTAATTTATTTTTATGACAGTCATTATCGTTATTTGTCATTAAAAAAATGCTGATATGAAATCTTCTTCCCTAAAAGCTTTAAATTTTTAAATTAACAGTCGTTACAAATGTTTAGTTTTTAATTAACGGGACGGTCGTTGGTTGATCAAAAAATTAACATAGTTTGATTTCAATATGGTCTAACGATTAATGATGGTAGATCACAAAATTTTAGCTTTTAATTTCTATTAGAGTATCACATTTTTTTGTTGTCATTCTATCGTCATTTAATAGTTTCTCTTGTCAAAATCACTGAACTATTTATCTTCTTCTTCTTCTCTTTTTTTCATTCGGTTCAAACTCATCAGAAAACCTTTAAGTCTCTTCAAATCCCAAATAAATCCTAATCGAAACTAAAACTTAAAACTTTTTGATTTGTTACTATTAACCGATGAATCAACTTGAAACCAAATTATGTTAACCTTGTGGCTAGGACTGTAAATGGGACGAGATAGATCGCGAGCTACTCGAGATCGACTCGGTCAAAACTCGATCAACACTCGAATCGAATGAACTCGACTCAAATTCTTAACGAGCTACTTAATACTCGACTTGAAAAGCTCACGAGCTACTTGAAAAAATGTTATATTATAATTTTAGATTTTTTTTAAATTACATTAATAAAAATATATTAAAAATACATTATTGATAATTATAATTTTTTTAAAAAATATTTTTAAATGTAATATAAGATTTTTGTATGTTTAAATTCGAGTTTGAGCTGGAGCTTGAATCGAGTTCGAACATGAATCAAGCTCAAAATCGAGCTCGTGAATTTTTTTTGAGTTCGAGCCTTTTCGAGTTCGAGTTTCAATATTATATTTCGAGTTCGAGCTGAGCTTGATAATTTTTAGCTCGCGAGTTTTCGAGTTGAGCCTAATTTTAAACTTTTCGAGTTCAAGTCGAGCTCAGCAATACTCGAACTCAACTCGGCTCGTTTACAGCCCTACTTGTAACCAAATGAATCCTCCAACTGTTAGGAATTTAGGATTGATCAGAAACTATTTTGTTCATAAGAAATTTGACATTAGCAGCGACGGTAAATTTAGAATCTTCAATTTTTTTTTTAAATAAACTTTTAACGTGTTACGTTATTATTTCTTAACGGCAATATTTAATAATTTTGATATAAAAATTTAATGATTGTAATCTAAATTTTAATAATTTTGTGACAAAAAGTTATTAAAAATTCAATGAATATCACTAATTTAGTTTATACAAAAATAAATATGATATACGAGGACTAAACGCGTATAGAATTTTCCACACACATGTATGTATATATATATATATAAATGGTATTGATACATATATTGAATTTGTCAGCAAACATACAGCAACTTGACGATAAAATGGGACAGATATTTCAATTTGGTGGACCATATGTTGCTTCAATAGCATATGCTTTTTGTTTCTATACAATTATGTGGGTCTTAAAGATAATTATTCCCCTCCACACACTTCCATAGTACGCTCCATTTGCTTAATTATATGACGTACTTCCATGGCTGATTAACATTAACCATGAGCTGATTAGTAGTTTGAACCTTTGAGTTACGTTTGTTAAGAAGCTTAATGAAAAATCTAGTCAATTCATTTTAAAATATGAATCGTTTTAGATACTTAAGTTTAGATTATTATTATTATGAAACGTTAAATAAATGATCGATATTGGTTTAATTATTGTTTTAGTCCCTATTATATGCTAAAATTTGAGATTTAATCCATCTATTTTAATTTGATATAATTGATCTCTCTACTTTTATAATGTTATTAGTAGACCTAAATTGATCAATACCATTAGTTGTTATCATTAAAGTGATGATTGTTTCTTTTTAATAGTTGTTATAATTGTTTCTTTTTATTTCATTCATTATCCACATTTAAAAAATTCTAAATATCTCTCAACCCGTAATCTAATCAAAATATATATCGATCACCCGTACTAATAACTATTGAACTTCACCATTATAAACATAATATCTATTTTACTAAAAAAATATATTAAACTCTCCAAATCTTAACCTAAAATCCTTCACCTTCGTCATCAAATTAAATGTAAGGTGAAACCGATTTAACAAATGACTCGTTCTAGCTATAACATGAATTAGATTTCTAGATATTTTCATGTTATATAGTTGCTAAAAACTAAATATCTATTTCGGGATAAGACTAAATCCGGGTTCGGTGCATAGTATAATATCTTTATTGATTGATACTGTATTAAATTTCCCAGACGAATACAGCAAACTGAAGACAAAATAGTAGAGATATTAAATCTGATGGACCATTGCTTCAATGGCATATGCTTTGTGATTCCAGACGATGATATGTATCTAAAAGATAATTATTCCCCTCCACCCATTTTTGTACTACGCTCCGCGTGCTTCATTTTAACATATGTCCATAATTTAATTATCAACGTTAATTTGATCGACATTGTTATCTCTACAATATACAAGAAAATGTTAAGTCATATCCTCCAATTTAGGGATAAAAAAAGGTCTTCTTAATTTAGATATTATACAAAAAATACATTGAAAATGTCATAATTGATATCGTTAAAGTACATATGTAGATTTTTCTATTATTATTTAGTAATACCATCAAAGTTATATAAAAATTCAGTTAATTATGTTCAACAAATAATAAATTTGTGTATTACTCAAATAGTAGTTAGTGGTATTTTCTCACTCTAGGCTTACTAACTATATTATAAAAGTAGAAGATCAAATTATTTCGAATTATATTAGGCTAAATTTTGTCTCTAACTCATGTACTATACATAATACGAATTTAGTCCTCATACTCTAATTTAGTTAATTTTAACCTTTTATTTTTTGAACTTCGAAATTTTAGTCCAGACCTAAATGATACATAGTTAATATGGCTAAACTACAAGGACTTGTAATAATCAATTTCAAGATCATTGATTAAATCTACAAATTGCACCTACTAGAGAAACTCACAACAAAATATGACTTAAAACTTTTAACAGTTATTGTTTGGGTTAGGATCATAATCTCAAATTTTATAAAAGTACGGTACTAAAAATGATAACAATAAAATAGATGGACTACAACTTATGCATTGTATGGGGACAAATAGAAAATTTGACCATTTAGTAAATGGATTTTAACATAGTATACGGACTAAAACCATAATTAAACCAGTTTCCCTAAACACTGAAATTCTTATGTCAGGATAATGATAATGACATACAAGGGTCAAGTGTCACATATTTGAGGAGTTAACCACAAAAATCAATGCCCTCCTTTTTTGACTTTGAATGCACATTTAAAGCCCTTTTGCAAATTGTAAACTAGTGCTTATAAGTAGCAATTCAATGCAAAGCAAGTTCATTCACAAGCATTGAGCTTTAATGGCTTCCCAAATATCTCCACTCTTCTTTCAATTCATTTTCATTTCCTTCTTTGCCTTTGCTACTACTACTCTAGCTACAGTCCCTGCAAACCAAACCTTCAGATTCGTCAACCAAGGGGAGTTCGGTGAGTATATTATCGAATACGACGCTAGCTATCGAATAATCCGGAACGATGTTTACACATTTTTCAACTATCCTTTTCGCCTTTGCTTCTATAATACCACTCCCGATGCTCACATTTTCGCCATTCGAGCCGGCCTTCCCAGAGACGAAGACCTCATGAGGTGGGTATGGGACGCAAACCGCAACGATCCGGTTCGCGAAAATGCCACCCTTACCTTCGGTGAGGATGGGAACTTTGTGCTGGCGGACGTGGATGGTCGTGTCGTTTGGCAAACCAACACGGCTAACAAAGGCGTCACGGGGATTACGTTACTACCAAATGGTAACTTGGTATTGTATGATAAAAATGGGAAATTCGTTTGGCAAAGTTTTGATCACCCCACCGATACTTTGTTGGTGGGTCAATCTGTTCGAATCAATGGTCAAAACAAGCTCGTTAGCCGAACATCAGACGTAGACGGTTCAGATGGGCCGTATAGTATTGTACTAGACCGTAAAGGGTTCATTATGTACCTAAATAACTCCGGTCAGCAACTTATATACGGTGGTTGGCCAATAGAAAACTTTGGAGACATTGTGACATTTGACGCGGTGCCGGAAAATGAAAATGCAACAGCTTACGAGTTAGTATTGATACATGAGCAAGCTAATTCGAGCACTACTTCTACGGCGGGTAACGGCCGACGACTTCTCCAAGTTCGTCCAATCGGCGGAGGCAACCGATACAACCTTAATAAACTGAACTACAATGCCACAATCTCTTTCTTAAGGCTTGGATCTGATGGAAACCTCAAGGCTTTCACTTATTATGACCAAGTGAGTTACCTAAAATGGGATGAGAGCTTTGCTTTCTTCTCAAGTTACTTTGTGAGGGAATGCGCTTTGCCATCGAAATGCGGTGCTTTCGGATTATGTGACAAGAGAATGTGCATTGCTTGTCCAAGTCCGAAAGGGCTGTTGGGGTGGAGCGAAAGCTGTAAACCGCCGAACCCGGTACCTTGTCAGAACGGAGCTAAGGTCAATTACTACAAAGTTGTTGGGGTGGAACATTTTTTAAACACGTATTTGGAGGACGGCGAAGGTCCGATGAAAGTGGAACAATGCCGGGACAAATGTACCAAAGATTGTAAATGTGTGGGGTTCATTTACAAGGAGGATACATCAAAGTGTTTGACAGCTCCTGTTCTTGGGACTTTGATCAAAGATGTTAATGCTACATCCGTGGGATATATTAAGTACTCTAAGTAGATTTAGCTCTTCTTTCTGGGATTTTCGTGTTTGAGTGTGTTCAAATACAAAATTAATAAATTTATATATAAATCTCTTATCAGTTTTCCTTCTTGCCACCATTTGTTCGTCACTAGTGTGTAAGGGAAACAAAAAACAGGGATAGCAAATTAGCCTTATATTGTTGGTTTTCACTTGGGCCGATATAATATTCACCAGTTGGACTATACATGATTGGGTTATAATATTTCAATGGACAGTTCATAGTTATAATGAGAAGTTAGGAAAATATTAATGATTATATATTAATTTAATAGTTATTATTATGATAATTTAAAATTGTAAAATATTTTAAGTTAAAGGGTGTTATAAATCCTCAAAATTTTTTAAAAATTCTGAATTTTCTTGCTTCTTATTAAATTTTTATCCCCTGAAAACATTTTTTTGATGAACACTGAATCTTTAGCATAAGAGTTTCTTTGCGTCAGATGATGTCCCATGTCGTGTTATGGTGTTACTATATTACACTATCATAAATTTACAAAATTTTTAAATAATTTTTAGAATTTAAATTCATTTTATAAAGTTTTTCTTTAAAAAACTAATATATTTTATGTGACATAATCATAATGTGTCATACGATAATAATATCCCAAGAAAATGTTAAAAAAATAACAATTAAAATTGATCAACAGACCTAATTCATTTAATTTTAAAATCTGAAAACTTTACTATTTTTTTTTTAAATTTAAGGCTTCAGATAACCGTTAATCAACATTTTATATTGGACTGAGTTTGCCCCTCTCCAATAATTTGAGCATCAATATTAAGAAACTTTTAATCAATCCCAAATCTGTCAAGGGATTTGGGTAAGAGAAAGGTGGATTAACTTTTCCTTTTCTTCCTAAGAATAATATTTTAAACCTTCACTACTTCTAAAGAATAATTAAATTAAACCTTGATTTATATAAGGTTTATTGGAAGTTGACGTTGACAAATTTCATGTTTAAAAAATTCTACCACAAATATCTTTTTGGATTATTTAATTATTACATAGCCAATAGGCAGCATTGTGTCATCATTTCTTTGGTATTATTGGCTAAGGTTGCATCCTAAGAAGACACCTTACAATTTCATTTACCTTTTATCACATCGGAATGTATGTTCATGAGTAGGCAATGGGTTATTGATTCTCCTAGAGGAATTAACCACACTAATTCTTTTCACACACAAGGATTTTCTTGGGTCTTTTTTGAATGTTAATATGTTTTTAATTTTCTTAATAGCTTTGAAGATGTGATTAGTTATTAATTTATAGATATGTACAGTATTCCTAAGATGTAAAAAATTATTTTAGTTAATATCATTAGAGATTAATTATTACACTATTATTCCGAAATCATATTTAATCTTTTTGATGATCGTGGTTGACAATAAATAGGAACAAATTTTTTTTAAAAAAATGAATTTTGCATGGTATTAATATAAACACATACAAAATATGGCAAAAATATAATGCTTAATAAAAAACCTCCTTAAATCTAATTGGAGGAAAAAGAATGCACCACTTTATTGTCAGAATTGATACAAAAATAAACGCAGATAATATGACCAACGATGGACCAACAACATCCAACTCTAGCCCCAGATTCTACAACCAAAAGGAGCCAGTAAAATCAGCTCATTCAGGCGCCGAAATAGGAACAAAGTTAAGATGAAGTTTTAGGGGATAAATATAAATAAGAATAAAGTCATAAAAAAAACTAAGAATAAAAGGGGTTGAGATCTAATTCATTTAATTTTGAAATTGAAGCGAGCATAAAAAGTATTTAAATCGAGAAATGGTAGGCTAATGCTTAATTTGCCTAGTTTCAAAACTTAGAGGGACGTAACAAGAATTGAACCAAAAAAAAAAACTAGAGTTAAGGCCTAAATCACCTACTTTTTAAACTAAGAGGACTTAAAAAGTAATTGAATCAAAAAATGAAAAAAAAAATTAGGTGGACAATTCTTAATTTGTCTAGCTTAAAAATTGATAGCATCGGTTGCCTTTTTATATGCATGAATCCCAACTAACAAAGTGCATGGGAATGGGAGAGTATATAAACTTTTAATCTTCTGTCCCTTCTCTCTTCCATATAAGATTTGTTGTCAAAGGTCTTCCTTTCCTTTTCCAGGCTTGTTACTTGCCTTTTCTCATAAAGACATTTACCCACCCTTCTAATTTATTTTCCTTATATTCTAAATCATTTTATTTTCTAATTTGAAGATTGCCTCAATTAATTAAAGTAGTTAATTTTAGGAAAAATTATAATCAGAGTCATTTAATTATGGATTTGGTAACAAGTCAATTTTTCTCTAAAATTTAAATATGCCACTTAATTTGATCGTTAAATATTGGACAAAATAATGATGTGACATGGTATAATAATAATTTTGATTCTTAAAACTTATACAATTTATCAATTTGATCATACAATGAAACAATTCAATAAATTTAATCCTTATTATTTAAAATTTCTATTATTTTAGTCTTTGTTCTTCTCATACAATGTTGTTCTTCTCCCATAAAGTTATATTACCTTCATGTTACTTTTTTGGTATAGTAATAGTTTAACAATAACTTGTTACTTTATGACAAGAGCAATGTTCTACAACTAATTCTTTGATATGGTTGGCTTTTTTAGATCGGCAATATCACAAAAAGGATTAAATTGATATTATGAAGGGTTAAAGTTATTAAATTATTTCGGATTAGATCAAAATTAATAGAACGTATAAATTTTGAGGACTAAAAATGATTACATCAAACTACATTAGATGTTTATTTCAATTTTAACGACAAAATAACTTGTTTGTAACAATATTTTAATTAAACAACATGTTTGTAACTTTTGAAAGGAGAAAATGACATTTATTACCAAACATATAATCAAGTAACATCGATATAATTTATCCTTCATTTTAAAAGATAAATAAACTTAAAGTCAAGCCAACGAGAGGAGATCTTGAAACCTTTGAGCTTTAATGTTTAAACCCTATTATATATATGTTTTGTTCAGATTCCTTTTTCTTACGAATCATCGAGATATATCATACTTTGTTAATATGAATTCGGTTAATACTTGTAATGATGATTTTAAAATCTACATCATATAAGAAAAATTTATGGACCCCAATGTGTAAATAAACAAATATATAATATATTTGACAAATAGAATGCTTCTCCATTATTTTCTTGTCCCCATCGGATTTTCTTTCAAGTTGCTCATCACGGTTTTCCAATTTTTTCTTTGAGCAATTCATTACTTGAGATGGACTAATATATAGTGCCAAGCTAACTTTAATAAATATATATATTTAATATCAAAATACAATTATAAATACGATAAATTACTTTATTCATGAATATAATTAATGGCTATTATTTTTATTTAAATCCTAACCATTATTCCAATTTAAGTCATTAGGTTTAACTAGGGTTTGCTTTCTTTTTCTCTCATTTTCCATATTTGTCGTTTGTCTTTTTTCTTTTCATCTTTGTGATATACGGTAGTACCGATTTTGGTACTGGTTGCTGACCGTCGATATTCATTATTTTTTCATTTGCTTTATTATAGCGTTATCTTTGTTTTTTCTTTTTTTTATTCATAATAATTTTGTATTTTTGGCATGTCTTATTCTGCCTTTATCACACGTTTTTCTTTGTCTCTATAGCACATTTTCGATTGTTTGGCCGTTGTTGTCGTTTATCTTTTTTTCGCGTTGGATTTGACATCGTTACGACTGATCAAGATGACGCTTATTTGTTATCATGATGATCTTCCCTACTTTGAACTATCGGATTAAATTTGGATATGTGATTTACGTTCGTGTAAAGTATTTTCACATAGCTCGATTCTAATTTACGGTTTGTTGGTGGTCTTTCAGTTGCTTTATTTCCTTTTGTGTTTCGTTTGTCGATGCAGTCAGATCTGTTCATATTTATCTCTTGTTCGAGTTTATTTGGTTAGGTTTTTTAACCTTGTGTGATCTTAAATGACTAATTTTATTGTGTTTAGGAAATATTTTTATTATATAGTTTCAATTGTGATTATAAACATACATTTAATTTGGATATTTTTTATTTGAGAAAATAACCTCAGTGACCAAAAATCCCATATAATATACGATTTTAACCAACTTTTTCCGGATTTGCCAAAATGACCAACAAAATCGCAATGCGATCGCTAATTCGCAACGCGATCTCCATTATCGCAAATTCGCGTTGCATTTTTGCAATGCGATAGTTGAAAATCGCGTTGCGATGGTCTACAGTATCGTTGCGATTTTCCCAATTCGCAATGCGAATAAGTAAATCGCAATGCGAATAAGTAAATCGCAACGCGAATTGGGAAAATCGCAATGCGATACTGACCATCGCAATGCGATAATAAAAAATTGCAACGAGATACTTACTTTCGCAACGCGATACTGACTTTCGCAACGCGATAATACATAATCGCAATGCGATTTTCAAAGCGCCATTAGTATCCTGGCCAAGTATTTTATTTTTAAATTCCAAACATAAATATTAATATATTGGAACACTGAACTGTCCACAGTATATCCCGTAATCGCAACTCATAACCTAAAACCTAAAATCACAACTCAGTCCCATCTCCATCTCTCACTCTCTCACCCATCTCCGACGAAATCCGTCCCCATCTCCGGCGAAATCCGTCTATCTCCATCTCTCAGAGCCACCCTCACAATCAGAAATGGAAAATCAACCAAATCAACCAACGAGGGTTAGTTTTTTTAATTATTTTCTTTTTGAAATTTTTGCATTATTATTAGGTTTTTCATATTGAAATTGATGATAAGTTTACTGGTAATTTCAATAATAGATTAACCATTTCACTTAGATTGCTTATTAAATCAACCAAGAATCGCAACGCGAAATGCAAATCGCAACGCGATTTTAGTTTCGCGTTGCGATTCTCTGGTTGCGATAGTCATTTTCGTGTTGCGATTTTCATTTTCAGAAACT